AGCATGAAATTTTGCTAGGGGCCACCGATGATGAAACAATCATCCGATTAGGTTTTTCTTCATAAAAGGGTAGGCGAGTTATTTATTACAAAGGGTTGGACCATTCGAACTTTGAAATGGATATATTTGGCTGACTATAGCCGTACAGTACTAAATAATATATTTTGACCTCTCATCGCCTTCAAGGCAGAGCCGACATACTTACTATGGGATCATACATATTCAGTGTAGATGAAATCGCTGTCGGTTGTTAGCACTGCATGTATCCTAATGCCATTTTTATCCTTACTGTTGAAAGTGTAGCCGAATAGAATGGCGTTTCTGTGTACCCACAGCGTTTCTCAATACTTACTGCGTTCAGAGCGTACCCACTCAGTAATTATGGCTCTCGGAGAGAACCAACTGAGATCACAAAATGGTTCAGGTTCCAAAATGGCGGGTGGTGATCCTTCTCGTGCCAACTCATCACCGGCCTCATTGTCTTCGATTCCACAATGCTCTGGCACCCAGCAGAGTGTTATCTACCGTGTTTTAGTTTGTTAGATGAACACTCGTTTCACACACATCACCGAGTCAAACCTGAACTGTCTTGAATTATAAAAGTATCACGTTAAATAATCAAAATTTGTATGCTAATATCGTAAAGTTTTTATTGGCGACGATAAAATTCTTCGAATGAGCAAGCCATATTAAAGCAAAATAACAGCGCCTACTTAATCAAGAGAATCAACAATTTCAATAATGTCGTCAGCGTGCATATTAATTATCATTTAGTCAAACGGATAAATATTTAGCTTAATATGGGAACATCCTAACCTAGCTCATTGAACTGAGCGATTGATTTATGTTTAACCACGGCAATTGATACTTCATAAAATGATTTCTATATAAGGGCGATTCCACCGTCACGGGTCAGACATTTGTACCGAAAAAATGTTCTTTCTTGTTTAAATTTAAGTATAAAGTACTGAACAATTCTACATTTTGATAAAGCTACACCCAATTGCCTATTATGTGAGTTATTACAAAAGAAGAAAATCCTTCCAGCTTACTTTTATATGGAAAAAAATCTGAGTTATTTCTTCTGTCACGGGTGGGACAAAAACAAAGAACCTGCTTTTTGGAGCAGATATATTTTACGAAAATTCTGCGAATTTGTTTCACTTTTCTGTGTGAACTTGGTGTCCTATATTAAAACAAAGAACCAGGAACACAAATAAAGCAAAAACTACAACAAAAATAATTGCTTTATTAGAATAAAATCCGAAATTCATTGGTCAGGGGTGGGACACGTACGAATTTCTATATGAAAAGGAGCTTTTAGTATGGTCCATATCAAAGATTAGTTATTAAAAAATATAAAGGAAGCCAATTAGGGGTTCAATTCACTCACGTCTTATCTTAGGATGGTGCCTTTTATATAGAAGAAAATGCTTAGCACCATCAGCCAAAAAAAATTATTAAAAATCAGCGCGATTTCCTAGCGTGTTGAAATTTTCACTTTTAGCCATTTAAATTTAATGGGCTATAAAACTGCGTACCTTGAATTTTTCTATAAATTCTGAACAAAAAGTTTGAAATTTTTGGGTTTAATTGTTAAAGTTTGTTCATTTTTTATAATTTTTGTACGAAGTTTGAAATATTTATTTTTTTGGTTTTCGTTATATAATGTGCTAGACTTAAAAGTTTAGATAAAATTTTCTGGAATTTTCCTTATAAAGTTCGGAAGTGTGATGTATATCGTTTTTGATAAAGCATGAACCATATTTTTATAAAAAAATATCAAAAAAATTTCATCTGGCAAAATATTGTAAGATGAGCTGTACTATATATTTTTCTTACCAAACATTTGAATTATGAATCGCAAATAATTTCACAGTACTTTCAACAGAACCTACTTTAAACTCACTCAAAAAATTTACTTAGAGCTTGATTTCGAAACGTAAAAAAGGAAACAAAAATGCATTTAAAGCTTTAATTTGTTATTTTTCGGTTGATTCAAGATTTTTACAAATGTCTTATCCACACATTTGTTAATTTTATAAAGAAACTAATTTTTGCACTGATGTGCGGCTTCCCATGGACCCTCACCTAACCAAATGCTTAAGTGCGATCAAGATTTGACTCCGTATGAGCTAAAAAAAAAAAAACAGTTTTGCGCCAAGAAAATGATGTCTATGGCTTAAACAGATACTGAAATAATACAATTCCTGCTGAGCAAACATTATTAATCATTTCGATATTCCTAACCTTCACTTTACTAGTCAGCCGCAGTGATGCGTACAATTTCATTTGACTACGCCTACACCAAATAGCAGTCGATTTTTTTACAAAGAATATTATCAAATAATGTTCGATTAAAGCACAACTTATGCAAATATACAAGATTATTAAAATGATGACGAAAGAGTAATAAAATAGGCAAAGGAGTATTACAGAGACGATAAGTTAAATATTTAAGTGGAAAAATACTAAAATAAGCAACAGCGGAATCAATATTGCGATAGTACGTTTTGGCAGAGCTGCTAGGAAAATTTTAGCTTGTTGCAAACTCAAACTGAATTAAAAATTTTCGCTTAAGGGCGAAAAGGTGCCAAGTCCATTTTTTGAAATTGTCCAGGAAAAACGACAAATCGATATAGTTTCGTGTTACCTGCCTTCTGCTTGAAAAGTTAAATTTTGAAAAAAGAGACTTGGTACCTTTTCACCTTCAGGTAGCGAAATATCTTGAATCAGCTTAAATAAATGCAACGCCTAGTAGTACTCGTATTTATATTGGAAATTTTCTTAAGTTCGCTGTAAAAAAATCACATCTGGTTAAGTATTTGATTGAGTTCCTCCTTCAGGATGCGGTATGCGGAACACAAACGGAACGCAGCTCCTGTTTCCGCCGCCTTCGAAAGGCAGACAAATTACTGTTTTAAGCCTTTTCAAGGCAAACGTATACACATTTATTATGGCCTACAGAAAGACGATCTTAGTTAAAATAAAAATAAAAATTATTGTTTAAAAAAACTAAAACCTCGCTATTATAATTTCCATTCATACTGTCATCAGGTATGTAACTTGAGAATAGAGATCGCTGCATCTTTTAGGCGCATCAGTATTACATAGTTACATCCCGAGCTAATAAAAGGAATGTAAAAAACCCTTTTCTATCATTTATGGATGTTGCGTGCTCCGGAGATCTAAAGGAAGGGATTTTTGTGCAGGATAAAAGATCTGTACCGTTCGCCCGATTTTCAAAAATGGGATGTGAAATTAAAGCGTTAGGTCCGTAGATGTGCAAACTGGTTTTAGTTTTTCGCACAGAGATGTCTCCTGTTGAAAAATTAAATTCTTATTTAATAATCAGTGCCATCAAATCCGCTCCGTTCGTTCGATTTTCCAAAATTAGGCGTCAAACTAAGAGCCTTGGACTGTAGACGCGCAGTGAGGTTTTACTTTTTTGAAAAGAGTTGCCACCTTTAAAAAAATATATTCAAATTATTTAAAAAAATAAATCGATTATTGAAACTGGGTATCAATCGAAATGGTTTTGAAAAGCTTTGTTTTTTTAGCTGACCTATAGAAGGGTTGCCACCTGTTTAAAAAATCATATTAGGGAAGAAAAATATGTATCACCATATGGTTGCCAAACGAAAGGGGTTTCAGAAAGTAGTCGTCTGAAAATACTTTTAAGAGGGTTGCCATCTGATTGAAATGTCGAATTTAGTTTACTTATACACAAGTTATACGAAATATCAAAATATGGATGTCTAACGAAGGAGTGTTAAGAAATCTTTAGTTTGAACGGTAATAATATTATTGAGGTGTTGGAAGAGGGTTGCCACCTGTTTAGAAAGTTAAATTCAAATTATTTTATAAGCTAAATGAATATTTAAAATATGGGTATCAATCTAAGGGGGTTTGGAAATTGTTTGCATTGTATTTAGCGGAGCTGCCACATTTTTTAAAATTAAAATTCCGCTTAATTCATTAGTTAATTAAAATATGTATTGCGGTGTCCGCCGAAGGAGAGTTAATAATGATTAAGCTTGCAAATACTTTTGAAGAGGGCTGCCACCTGTTTGAAAGGTTTAACTCAATTAACTAATTCAGAAAGTATATGAAATATAAAAATACCGCAGAAAAACGAAAGAGTGTTCAGAAATCTTTAGTTAGAACATTTCGAATGTTTGAAGAGAGTTGCGACGTGTTTAAAAAGTTACATTCAAATTATTCAGAAAATGTGGGTATAAATCGAAATGTGTTTGAAAGGGATTCCTGACCTTTACTTTGGTGGGTTGTCATTTGTTCGAACAATCAAATTCGAGTTAGTCCATCATTTATTGAAATACATGTATATCACAATGTCAGACGAAAGATATTTAAGAAGATTTTATTTCAAAAATAAGAGGTCAAATTAGAAACCTAAACCTGTAGATGTATGATAAAGGTTTAATTTTTTTTTTCATTAAGAACTTTTTTCATCAGTATAGGGTGAGTTGAAATTCGATGAAAATAAAAACATGCACTATGCGAGACTGCTCATCACTCAGAAAAGGTTGAATGATTTTGATGAAATATGGCTCTCGGAGCTATTATAACTCTGACTAACATTTGGAATATTTTTTAAGTTTTTTAAATTCAATTTAGGGCGTTTTAACGCCATGCGGGTCCACTAGTTAAATATAAATCTGTAGCATTTGAAAGCAATAATGACTGTTATAATTTTTTCTATTCACTTTTTATACATTTTCTATCAATACTTTCTCAATTTTCTGAAATGATCAATGTAGGCTGCCTGCCACCGCACCGCGCCAATGAATTCGTCAAAGCGACCTTGGCAACCTTCAAAAGCACTCACGATTCTTATTCACCTCTTACTAACTAAGATCGGCATTTTTTTCACGTAACTTAATACATTTAAGTAACAATACAAGATTTGTGCAAGATATTTGTTTATGCTTCAACAACAGCGCCGAGAACAGTTCAAAATCAGTTGTGATCATCAGTGGAGCAGTGCGGTACGGCTCGGTTTGGTGCGGTTGGCTTTGCTTTGATGATTTGCGGGAGATTTACAATCAACATTTTAACTAAATAAATAAGACACGTTTTTTTTACATTGATTAAATGATTTTATTACTATAACGAGGCACTTAATAAATCACGCAAAAGTGTTTGACTACGTTTAATAAAAAGTGATTCAAACGCTGATTGCTGTGAGGCAAATACTTTTGTGGTCTGATAAATTACTATTGCATACTTCTTCTAGCATTTATCAGGTGGGTGGCAAAAAAAAAAAGAAACGAAAAAAGCTATAAGTGGAGGCGTAGATAGTGGGAGTAGTGAAAAGTGAATAGAGGGAAATAAGTAAATACATAAGTAAATTTGAAGAAGAAATTTGAACAAAAGAAATTTACATATTTGCGGAGCTAAGTGAAGCGCTGAAACTATCTTTATTTTTGTATCTACGAAGAGTTGGAAAGAGTCTACGTTTGTTGTTGTTGTGCGCCAGATACTCGCACAATCGTTATCAGGCAATTGGTTGCTCACAAATTACTTGCATACATAAATTTTTATTATCGACCTGTCTGTACAAAAAATTGTAAATGCGACTTTGTCTGCCTAAATCAATATTTACAGTTATAAGGAGAAGCAGAAATATGTATTCTTTTGAGGCAAAACCAGCAACAGACTACAGAGTAGAGGGCAAGTGAAGTGAGACATTTATTGATTCGAAATTTTTTTTTACCAACCAGAGAATAAATGCGTGAACGTGAAATTTTAAAGTCAGTCAAAATTTACTGCAAGGTGCAATTTAAGAAAATGAAGAAGCAAAATGAGCGTCGCTTAAAGCGAAAAGAAGAGGAGGAAAAGTTAAAGAAGAGGGAGACAAAATGGACGAAGACGAAGAAGTAGCCAGAGCTTTCGAAACAGCCAAGTTTTCGGTACTCTAGTCAATTTCTCGTTATACGAAAGTCCTTAAGCGCAGCTGCTTCTGAGTAAAAATGTCAACTGTGTGAATTTAATGAAGTAAAATTTTTTCAGCTAACTAATTTTAATCAAAGTTCAAGAGGATGTTGTCTACTAAGCTCTCTACAGGTTATTTGTTTTAAACCTAGCTATTTTCTTGGAATCGAGATGAGTTGCATTTGGCTACCCATTTTGAACAAGCTTGTCGCAAACCTATGTAAATGCAAAAGTAAAACTACTCCACTTTTTTGTAAAGCTTCTAACATTACAAATGTAATACTTCAGTTTACAAAGAATGTAAGCAGTCAATCACCTTGTCTAAGCTAAATACAAGCGTAACGGCAATATGACAGCAATTACTTTGTATACATATGTACATAATTCTCCGAAAGTAAAAAATCAAATTTATGAATAATTTATGCTACTGTTCTTGTTTAGCACCATTTAAGCAGCATTTAACTTTACAACAACAAATCACCTTTAACACACCCAACACCTTAGCCGACGCCAATAGCCACCAGCTGTGCTGCATTTTAAAAAGCAAAGCACGCCAGCCGAGCTGAACTCACAAAATATGCAGCATAGTTAAACTTTAACTTTTTCACGCTGTCATTTTGCAATTAATTGCTAATCGGTGATGGAGTGACAAGCGGAACTGCACTTACATAACTGCATATATTGTCACGATAGAATGCAGCACGAATACCAATTGCCAGCAGCTGTTCGATCTCTATGCGCTGCTTCATTTTAATTACTTTAAATTTTTTTTTTCACTTACTTATATACAGTATTTTATTGTCAATTTGTGCTTTATATAGTACATATTCTAGTGTTGATTTCAGTTAAGATTTATTGCGCTGCTTATTATTTCGTTATATACAATTGAATAAAGCACACTGAAGTGTTTTTTGATTTTTAAACGGCAGCGATACTACAAAAAATTAACATAAAAGCGCATGCTAATGAGACTAAGTATATTAATATGTACTTATACATAACTCATAACGCCTACGCGAACTAGCCTTTGCCCCAACACACTGCTAAAAAGCGACCTGCAAAAGCGTGCGGCTAACAGGTGTAGGTATGCCTCTGTGTGAATCATATCAGCAGTTATGTATTAAAAATGCACATTGCGGCTTAATTAAGTGCTAGCAAATAATTAATTGACACAAAATTTGAATATCATCAACTATCATTGTGGCGCTTTCTAAACTGATTTTTCGTTTGAAATAAATATGAGAAAAAAACAATGTATGTATGCGGTTATTAAAACTACAAATTAATTTGCTATTCAGCTCCGACACCTCGCTGCCGCCGGGTTACTAATCACTTAATTATTTAATGCGATTGCATAACTTGATAAATCAAATGAACGCGCACGCTATTTGTCGTTATGTACGCACGTAAAAAAAATGTAGTTTAATGTGCTTTTTAAGTTTATGTTTTTGCTAGTAAATTTAATTTTTTATTTTAGTTTTTTTAGGCTGCTTACTTGTGCGCTCAAATAATTTGTTTGCTTATGCCTTTTTTATTTTGTGGCAAATAAATGTAAATTAATGCAAATCAGTTGCAGTGTTCTCCTGCATCCATCATTTTGCATTCGTATTTAAAGTATCAATGCGCTTTTAATGCATCTTTTAAACAACTCACCGCTATAATATAATTTAAATAGGACGGCAAAAATTTTATTTGTTGATTAAAAGGGTGTATTAAATACATTTTTGCAAAAGTCGTGACTCGACATAGTATGGAAGTGCTGATTATTCCGGAGGAGTATTTTACATTCTATTGAAAGTTTTATTTACAAACGTACATAAAAAATAACACAGGTTTACACAAACAAAAAAGTGTATGCATATTAAACCAAACTTTCAGGTTTATTCAATGAATTTTTCCCTACTTGACCTTCAACGGATCACGAACGTGACGTGGTGGAGACTAACAGACTTCGGATTCGCATTCAGCGTGTCGAATAACATAGGGATATATTGGTTGGTTTTAATATGCATAAACTTTTTTTTTGTAAACCTGTGTAATCGTGTCAGAGTTTCTTGAAGTAAGCATTGGGAAGCAATTTAATTCAGCTGTGAACTGGCAAAGAGAGAGATTGCCACTGTTTTATGTAGTTTAAAATAAAAACATATTTAGAAGGGTTGAATTTGAATATCTCATTTTATTTTCTTTTTTTCACCGCACCAAATTATTCAAAATGAGTGCTTAGTTGAAAATAAGTTTATAGTACAAAATCTTTTTAAAACAAGCCTTCCAAATATGAACCAAATCCGGCCATAAATAATAATAATAGATTGGCGCTTACACATATGTTAGTGTTTGGCCGAGCTTCTCCTCCGATTTGTGCTGTGCGCCTTGATGTTGTCACACAAAGCGGAGGGACCTACAGTTTTACGCCGACTCCGAACGGCGATTGTATTTTTATGAGAAGCTCTTTTTCATGGCAGAAATACACTCGGAGGTTTGCCATTGCCTGCCGAGGGACGACCGCTGTTAAGAAAAAACTTTTTATTCAATTTTTTGCGATGGTGCTTTGACCAGGGATTGAATCCGGCCATAAATACCTCTTTCCAAATATCCTGACACCCGCGCCACCTACCGCCTACATTTTTGGTGGAGTAATTTTCTTTCATGTAGGTAATATACATTTCAAATATGAACCAAATCGGACTATAAATACGGGGTTTTAAAATAACGCCACCCCAGTGCCACCTAGCGGATTCTTTCATATTGCATTGTCCTCGGGTTCTGAGGTAAGTTTGAAATTTCAAGTCTCTAGCTCATCGGGAAGTTGGTTAACAGTTGACTGCAAGATTTTCTCCAAGCAAACTTACTTACATACATACAAAGCAAGTTACATAAATAAAAGCTTGTAAAATAGCTCTCAATAGCTTTCCACAATCCCCTAAGGTATACCTACAGCGTACTCCTCAAAGAATTGGAAATATAAAAGAGTAAAAATGTAAACTTGAATATGGATATGAGTGTGAATATGAAAGTAAATTAGATATGAATATGAATTTTGAATTAAATATAAATATGAATGTAAATATGAATATGAATGTGAGTGTGAGGAGAACGAATATGACTGTGAATGGAATGCCCTAACCATGAAAACAACTCAAAAGACATTTTTTAATTTTATTTTTTGAAGCAATTCTGAATTGATTCTGAATGAGTATGAATATGAAATTGTATATGAATATGGATATTAATGTTACTATGAATATGATTATGAAATTTTGTATGAATGTGAAAGTGAACTTGGACTATGAAATAAAAATATAAATATGAATGTCAGCATTAATATGAATGTGAATTATAATATGAAATTGCATATGTATATGAAGGAGAAGTGAATATGAGCAATTCCCTATTGCCATATTTTTAAGGCTACTTGAGAAAACATACCTATTATAAACAAGAAATTTCAGCCTGGCCGTATTATAAAAGTGTTAGTCATTTTTCCTAATCTGCTGTACAACAATTGCAAGTGTTATAAGTGAAAAAAATATGTGAACAAGTGTCAAATGACAACTTCTACCTATTACATATATTATGTATCAAAAAACGGATCATGTATGCAAGCAGCTGCCTAAAAAATGCGAATGAATAAATACCACTGTGTCGAAAGTCGATTAAAAACACTCGTAAATTTCAAATTCAAAAACCATGCAAGTGACAAAGCTGTCATATGCAATGAAAATCCCACAGGCAATTGTCAATATTTGACTGCCTAAATACATGCATACATACATATGTATTTATGTGCTGCAATACATGCCGGATGGTCCGTAAAATTGCAGTAGCACCAAAACGACTTGTTGCACTAATAAATTTTGCCACTTTAGCAACAATGCAACAGCTGCTGTCGATTGCCAATCGATTTTGCAGAGCCTTTTTGCATGTACCAATACTTGCAAATATATATACACATGTGTGCATTAGAGTGGTCCAAAAATTTTTTTTCGTAGATAGGGTTTGGGGCACCTTCCAACATTTTTTCTCTTGCCGAAAGGGGTGCTGGTGGTTCGGAAGATACACATGTTATGAAATTTTTTACCAAGTTATTTGCTCGCTGACAAGTAGATTTGATACTAACTCGGCAACGTATTATAAAACTTAAAAAAAGTTCATTCTTGGCGACACAGTAGATTTGAAGAAAATGTGACCTTTTTATAATGGTGATTTCGACGAATGCAGACTCAATAGCGTTAAATATGTATATGGCACACAGACCAGACTCTGTGAAAGATGTTGTGCAATTTTTGCGTGAAAACGAATTGTGTGTGGGACT